GGTTTTGGGGGTGGGCGGGATGGTTTTGGCGTGGGCAGGGTGATTTTGGCGTGGGCAGGATGGTTTGGGAGGGAAGTGGCCTCTCCAAAGGAAAGGCATAAGAGGAAGGGGAGGATGCTCTCCGGGGACCCCCTGCTTCTGGGCGTGGGGAATTCTCATTGTTCCTCCAGGAACTGACGGGCGTGTGTGTTCCCAAGAGGTGGTGTTGGGGAGCTGGAGGAGAGGGGATGGCTCCCCCCTTGGGGGAAGACGGCGGGTGGGAGCCATGCACCACCCCAGAGGGCCCCAAACCCTGCCTCCTGCCAGCAGCTGCCTGCTGGGTTGCCTCCTGCTGGGGCTGGAGGTGACAAAGCTGCTTGCATAGCTGCTGAGAAATCGTGCCCCGTGTATGGGGTACAGCAGGTTGGAACGTCAGGCCGAGCCCGGCAGCCTGCCCTGCGGGTGGACCCCAGCAAGGACCGTAGCGGGTGCACGGCTGGTTCCCCTGGTAGGGATGCTCTCAAGGTTGCATCAGGAATTGGCCGTGTTCCCCTGCGTTGCGCTTCAGTTGGCGAGGCAGGGGCGTTAAGTCTTGCACGGGCAGATTTAGGAGGTCTGGCCCTGGCTGTAGTGTCTCCCCTCCTGATCCATAACCCCGGGTGCTGGATGTGGGACCCCCATCCATGGGGGGTGACGATGTTATCTCTCATGTGAGCCTGCCACATAAGGAATTGTGCAGTAGGAGAGGAGAAATTTGAGGAGCCTGCAGTTTGCAGGTTCGGGGGTTTTTTTTAATATATGATAGGCCTTTAATGAAATGCTGCTGGGCTTGTTCTTCTTCCCAGTCCTGTTGGTGACAAAGTGATGCTGCTCGGTGGCTGGCAATTCAAGGGTTCCGTCCTCATTTGGACTTTTTGCTTCTCCTGACATATATCATGAGAAGCTCCAGCGAAGGAAAAATGTCCAGCCCAGGGATACTGGCAAAGGGCATGAGGATCTAACAAGCAAATTAAAAAGCCTACACATACTATGTGCTGTGAAAGTGCTGGTACTCGCGGTTCCCTTCCAGGGGGTGGTTTCAGTGCACCATACACCTCAGGATTGTGTTATTCTTCAGGTCTGCTCCATCTTTCATAACCACCGGCTTGTGTTAGCATTTACTGCTTTATGCTGGTAAATAAAAAGCTACCTCTAGGGATGAGGAGAGGGATGGTCAGTCCAGCTGAAATACAGGCCGAGGTGTTTATTTTTTTAAAAAATAAGGCAAATCACCCTTTTTCTCCTGCTCCATCGGTGCTTGCCTTGACACGGGGGTCTTATGGAGATGTATTCAAAGGGGAGGAATTGTAGCTGCAAGGTCTGGTTTGCTGATGGTTTTTAGCATCGACCTTTATGTGAACAGCACAATGCTGCTCCTATCAGCCCTGCTTTTGCAGGGTACCAAGGCACTTATTTTTAAAACGAGGATGCATTTATCTTGCTGCAGGTTGCATGAAAATGCATGGGGCTGTTCTTTACTCCTTGCTACCTTGAAAGCAAAACACACCTGAAAGGAGATGCTATTGTCAGCTAGCGCTGGCAAGCCAAGCCCAGACTTACCCCGTGTAGGTGTAGATGCTCAGCGAAGGCGTTGAAGCTCCAAACTTAGTTGTTGAAGCTTCATTGACTTTTCGGGAAGATAGTTTTGAGGTGGGCTGAGTCGCTCTCTGGAGGCGTCCCATTTCCAGTGATTTCAGATGGGGCCAGGAAGGACAGTGGTTCTAACACTAAATAGTTTTAAAATCACATGCTGAGTGGGGTCCTGGTGTGGAATAAGCTCCTTGTTCCCAGCTCTTTCTTCTAGCTACCAGCCCATGTTCCCCGTCTGCGTTTCTCCAGCATGGAGACCCACTTGCTCCACGTGTATGGTTTTCTTTATTTAATTATTTATTCATTTCCTCTCCAGGCTTCTGGGCCGATCGAACACCAGTTCATGAAGCAGCAAGGCGGGGAGAAATACTGCAGCTGCAGCAGCTGATAGAGAGTGGAGCCTGCGTCAACGCGGTCACCTATGACTCTATCACCCCGTTGCACGAGGCCAGCCTGCGAGGGCAAACGCAGTGTGTCAAGCTCCTGCTGGCTGCAGGGGCCCAGGTGTGTGGTTGGGTCTGATCCGTCTGGGAACATCAGCTTGATGTCTGAAGTTATTTCTGGGATCTGGATTCTCCCCATCTAGTTCTAGGCTCTTCTTCATCACTTCATCGGGTCCTGCCCTGGGGTCACCACAACCCCACGCAGCGCTCCAGGCGTGGGGTAGAGGGGCTGGAAAGCTGCCCGATGGAAAAGGCCCTGGGGGGGTTGGTCGAGAGGGGGCTGAATATGAGCCAGCAGGGTGCCCGGGTGGCCAAGAGGGCCAGCGGCATCCTGGCTTGTCTCAGGAGTGGTGTGGCCAGCAGGAGCAGGGCAGGGACCGTGCCCCTGTGCTGGGCACTGGGGGGGCCGCCCCTCGAGTGCTGGGGTCAGGGTTGGGCCCCTCCCTCCCCGAAGGACCTGGAGGGGCTGGAGCGTGTCCAGAGAAGGGCAGCGGAGCTGGGGAGGGGTCTGGAGCCCCAGGCTGCTGGGGAGCGGCTGGGGGAGCTGGGGGGGTTCAGCCTGGAGCAGAGGAGGCTGAGGGGAGCCCTCATCGCTGCCTACAAGTGCCTGAGAGGAGGGGGGAGCCGGGGGGGTCGGGCTCTGCTCCCAGGGAAGGGGCGATGGGACGAGGGGCACCGGCCTCAAGTTGTGCCAGGGCAGGGTGAGGTTGGGCATGGGGAACAATTCCTTCCCCTTGGGGCTGTCAGGGGCTGGAAGGGGCTGCCCAGGGAAGGGGTCGAGTCCCCAGCCCTGGGGGGATTTAACAGCCGGGCAGAGGCGGTGCTGAGGGCCGGGGTTTGGGGGTGGGATGGCAGGGGTAGGGGGGCGGTTGGGCTTGATGATCTTAAAGGTCTTTTCCAACCTAAACGATTCTATGGTTTTGTGATTCTATGAATATACATCTGTGCCCTGCGAGTGATGGGAGCAGCACAAGCCAGGTTGCTGGCAGTAGCAACCAACGCCTTCCTGAGTCCAGACTGTTTCTAGAGTTAAAAGAAGTGACAACATAGGCAAGTGGGCACTGCCACACAGCAGCCTGTGGGTACCTAACATTTTTCTTCTACCTTGCAGGTGGATGCCAGGAATATCGACGGCAGCACTCCGCTCTGCGACGCCTGTGCCTCGGGTAGCATAGAGTGTGTGAAAGTGCTGCTGTCCCATGGCGCCAAGGTGAACCCTCCCCTTTACACAGCGTCTCCTCTCCACGAAGCCTGCATGAATGGTAAAAAGTCTTACCTTTGCACACTTATTTGCAGCTTGGAAAAAAAAAAAACAAACCCAACAACAAGCTGCCAAGTATCTTAAATTGACCGTAAGCTGTTGTTGCTCATCAGACCATTACAGCTTGCAAATATATCAGCCCTACGTGAGCACAGCTCCCTTTGAACGCAGAATGCGAAGCACTGTGGTATCAGATGAATAAAGCCGTCCTTTGTGTTGGGTGCTTTTATCCCACATGAAACACAGGGGCAGGTAAAGTGCCAGCTTCTTGATGCTTGATTAGAAAACCTTGAGCCAAACCAGTAGCTTTCCTCTTGCGAGCAGTGGGGAGTTTGCATCCTTTCCCTCTGATCCAAGTTGAGATGGGATATATTGTTCTGATTAAGACGTGAGACTGTCTTAATCAGGTGTCCAGACCCCTCCTGGTTTTTCGGAGCTGGTGGATGAAGCTGTGGGTGGGAAGAAAGTGCCAGGGACTGTTGGGCAGCAGTGGTCCTTGTCCCTCTCTCAGCTTTTTCCAGCTGGAGGGTCTGTCCAGGGGATAAGAGAAAACTACAGGGGCCAAAATAACGTTCCAGCTAGCACACACCAGCTGCTCTCTGCTCCCCCCATCCTCTGCTCAAGCCTCTCCTGGACATTTGGATCTGGGTTACGGAGCAAGAGCAAGTGTCAGTGGGGGCTGTGGTAGCAGCAGAGGTGGGGGGAGTGGCAGAGGGACATTTGAGTGTCATTCCAACCCTGAACTTGCACAAATGCAACAGCAGGAAAGCCAGGATGTGAGAGCGGCAGTGTCCCCATTAGAAGATTGTGACCAAATATTTTAATTGTTTCGTGCCTCAGTTTCCTCTTTGTAAGATATAATACCTCCTCTCTCCTCCCCTTCACTGTTTTTGTTATCTGCTGTTCTGGACAGAGATTCCCTTCGACTGTGAAGGCTGTGGGAGACAGCATTTTTGACAAACAGGTAGTTACCTGAAAACATAGCTGTGAGCTCTTGCTTAGCTTTTCCTCGTTAAGCCTTTTTTCCTAAGGCTTGTTGATGATGACTGCCCGCTTTCTGTTAAGTTGTATTATTAGCATTGCAAAAAGTAAAGCTAGAATGGTCTAGAAGGTGATCTAATCCATCCAGGGCAGGATCAGCAATAGAACCAGCTCCACGAACAACAGGCGATTTAGTACAAACCCTTGAATTCAGGTTTGTTTGACTTGACTCCCCGCGAGACCTGTTAGCTCTAGCTCCGTGCCGTGCAGATGTGACTCTTCCTTGTGCCCCGCTCTCAGTCTCGATCCTACAGTGTATTGTGTTGGCTCACAAGCATTTCCATTTTGCAGCTGACACCCCCAAATATTAAACAGGCCGTTTGTGGGTCAAGCTGATCTCAGCATGCCATATGCTCCCATTTGAGCTGGGTTCTTTCTTTTGACTCGGATCCTCCTTTTCTAAAGGTAGCTCAGAGTGTGTGCAACTCCTCATCGACGTCGGTGCAAACTTGGAGGCTCACGACTGCCATTTCGGGACGCCCCTACACGTGGCCTGTGCCAGGGAGCATCTGGACTGTGCAAAGTTGCTGCTCAAGGCAGGTATGGCAG